ACCCGGGTCGGTAAGATCGTGCACGCACCTCATTTCAGTGTTGGCGCCTATAGACTGAGTCCAGGCCTATAGTTAGTTAGGGTCTCTGTTTGTGTCAGGCCACAAGTGTTGTTACTGATTATTGGAAGGACTCCACAACTTAAAGTGACATTTCACATTGGAGAGCTGATAAAATCCTACAAACTCAAGCCAGACTGGCGTTTTGCTCAGAAGGAATACTCAGGCACATGCTACAGGACCAGTTATGGGAGGGGGAATACTGTAGATTTGTGTAAGATTGTAAGCTGTTGTGCCACACCGCAGGCTAGCCCATACCATACACCCATACACTGATTCCTGCTCTTTTAGGGTAATAACAGGTAAGGTGTGGCAGCTTATTTGTGCCCGCCAGTAGGCAAATTACTTCACTTTCTACCTTCATCCATCAGAAGGCACCGTGCTGTGCAGCAGAAGGGTCTCAGCCTTTGGGCTGGGTGTATGTAAATTTATTGTATGTTTCCAGCATTTGTAGTTGTACTTATTTGCCACATCTAAGTAAAATTCTGTTGTGGTAAAAGCTGGTGTTGAGGTTGCTTTCCTCGTTTGTGACTTCACTGTATCCTGGGGAGCCCACCCCGGTACACGGCTTACAACTACCTAATACTCAGGGAAAAGAATAGAAGGCTTTTTATGAATAGATGAGAGGAGAGGAATTGGGTGAGTGAGTGATTTGATCCTTCACTGTATTCTGATCAGTACTGACAGCCACAGCACATGAAAGTGGTTGTAAAGGCTCAAGGCGTCTGTGTGTATCAGTGCCCTCAGACTCCTCAGTGCTTACCAGAGCCCCATCAAGATCCTGCGATGTGCCCCACAGCCTTGGCTGTCCCGGGTCTCTGCCTCCTCATTGGCTGAGACAGCAAGGGGGAGCCATTGGCTCTCACTGCTGTCAATCACAGCCAGTCAACCAATGAGGAGGGAGAGGGATTGGGCCAAGCCGTGGCTCCATGTGTGAATGGACACACAGAGCAGCGGGTGCCCCCATAGCAAGCTGCTTGCTGTAGGGGCACCTGACAGAAAGGAGGAGCCAAGAGAACCTGCAGGGGACCTGAGAAGATGAGGATCCAGGCTGCTCTGCACACAGCAAGTAAGTATAGACATGTTTGTTATTTTACAAAAAAAAAATAACCTTTAGAATCACTTGAAGCTCCAGGCTCACAGCAGAATTTGGAAAAAAGAAGCTGGAATTTTAGCATCCTTCTCAGCATAATTCTAAGCAATTCATAATTTAGCATAAAGTATTAAAGCTGCACCTATGCACCTATGCAGCTTAATTTTGAATGACATCACTAAACAAAAGAAAGCACACAGTAGAGGAACCAGAGAAGGGTAAATTCCACCCTTTCACAGGCATAGGGGATTGTTTTTTTTTTGTGGAGTTACTCATTACATTTAAATAATTAGTGTGTATCATAAACAACTGACATTTTTTTAAAATACTGTTTTCACATTTCATTTTTCAGCCTCATTTTGCATCTTCGTGCTGCTGATATCCTGCAGACTCTTTGCTGTCACCTCCTTTCCACATGCATGCACTCCATCGATAGCTTCCTGCCATTGCTCAGGGTGGGCTTCCTGATGTTGGCAATGATTGAAGATCCCTGTGCAAAAGATATACATAGTCTCCAGCAGAAACACATATGACAAGGTGACAATGCAGGTAAGCACTGGGGAGACACGAGCATTGTCCCCCTACAACAGGAAATGTTTCAGCAAGGACCTTCAATTGCAGAATCACTAAATATTATTTTAATAAAAGCTGTAAATTATAAAACGCTTTTGAAAATTGCGTTTACGTACTAAACATTACATGACATTTTATTATATGCATTTATATCTACTTTAAAGGCATTCTAAATCTTCCTACCTGCAGCTTGTGTTTTTCATATTTGTAAAATGTATATTGATAACAGAGTTTCATGGTGTAATTTGTTGCCCTATATGCAGAGCCTATAGTAGAGTAAATCTTCACATTCCTGTGTCGGACGTTTCTGTTTTTGTTCAAACATGAGGTATGTGGCATGGCACTGCCCAGGTTAATGTATGACCTCTGTCTGCAGTCTAGGAACTAATATTTAATGTAAAGAAACTATATATCCCACAATCCCTGGATCTCTAAGACTAGTGCTCTGCAGGTGAAAGCTGAATAGTATTTAGATCTGACACAGACACAAGTAGGCAGAGCCATGAAGAGGGAAGGGAAGAGATTTCCTAACAACTCCAACATTTGTGATGTAACACAGAGGAAATGGCAAGGCATGGATTGGACAATGCATGACCTGAAACAAGAAGTTACCTGTCCCTTTAGCGTATAAGGACAAGCTAAGTGAATAAATGGACTTAGGGAAACCAATCAGCCATGGCACTAAAAACTGTAGCAGCGGCATGTGAGCCTGTCATTACAAGGGAAGGCATACAAACAACACAAGGAATATAACTACACTAATACCAAGCTAAAACAACAAAAATAGTTTAAAGTGTAAAATGTATATGTAATAACTCAACTCAGTGCTAGGATATTTACCCCAAAAAACTAAAATGTAAAGTTATACTGCAGCCTTAAATATAAAATAAACCCAAATGATCAATAAAAACAATATCAAAAGTGAGGCGCTGTGAAAACAATAAGTATAAATATAATTGTGACACTACAGGTAGTCTGAAAAAGGCCATGCTAAGGTCTACATGAATACAACAAAAGGAGAGAAAAGTGAAGCCCCCCAACAGCATCTGTAAAAGAAGACTTTCTGAACAGAATTACAAATCTTTTGGCAGGAAGGATTTGGGTTTTGTGGTCAAGTGGCAATCAGATGCAATGTCAGCACTCGCACCAGAAGTGACGTACTGGAAGTGATGTACCAGAGGTCAGGTGAGACTGAGACCTTGCGCAGATGGTACTCTATGTGAAACATACTATTAGGCCACTATTCATGTTGAATTGATTGTACTGTATATATTTTATCTTCTGAGTAGTTTCAGGTTTGAATAAATGATTTTTAATCATATGGTTTTACACTAGTGGGGAGTCTGTTTTTTCTATGCACCATATGAGGAAGCTCACCAAAGTATGAACGCAGGACCAGAAGCCATATATGATGGATGGAGGTTGCATTTACAAGCTCTATATGCCTATCTGTAAAAAGAGAGGCATTTACTGTATGTTCAGTGAGTTCTAGTTTGCTAAGGAGAGGTCTTTGAGAACTGGAGTACTGGTTTTCACCAGTTGGGAAGAATTGATGTTGTTTTATGAAGAATTCATGTGGGACTTATTTTTGATGGACTGGGACTTTTGTTCACTTGTATCACTTGTAGTGTCACACTTGTATTTATATTTTATTGTTTTCGTAGCCCCTCATTTTTTATATTGTGAACATGTACAAACCCTTTAAATAAGAAATGAAATGACTAGGTGAATTTGAGTTTACAACTGTGACCTCTGGCCGAGGATCTGTAATCCAAAGAAGCGCTAGTACACAAAATTACAACAAGACAAACAAATATAATATCTGAAACTGATGTCATGTTCTAAATGTTTCTGCTCTGAAACTCTCAAGCAGAAATCCAGAATACATACGTATTCTTATGAAGTGACATGGGACGTTGAGCACTCAGGATGTTTATACTGGACGGAGCCTTCTTCTGAAGTCAAGTGTTTGCAGAGTGTGTTGTTTTTGCTTAGGTTCTTAATGGCAGAATGGTTACGTAAAGGTGAGTGTTCAAGCCTAATAAAATAAGAAGCCAATGGAGCCTAAACTCAAGGCATTTTAATGGAGATAATTCTGTTATGGAAAGATTGCAAACACAGCCTTATACACAATGAGGATTTCTGCCCTGCTCACTTGGTTGCATTTGTTAGCAGTAAACTGCTTTGGAAGCCTATTCACCTCCATGGGGATCCATTATGCTGTGCATTCCACAAATCTGCACACATTCAATGGAAGGCATTTTACTTCCTGTGTTCACTTTCATTTCCCCAGATCCAATATAGGGAACATGTAATCACCCAATTGTTATAAATAAAGAGTTACTATGATTAGTTTGCAGGAAAAAATAGAAGATAAATATTAAAGTGAAATGAGCATTACCCATATGGATATTCAAAGAAGAGTAAGGAAGATAAAGTAATTTGTACTGGACCCTCTTTCTTGCTGGATTAATTTTGTAAAATGGGTCTCCAGTCAAAACTTGTAATTTAGTTTTTTTTATAGTGAGAGGTAGGGTTAGATCCTTTATTTAGTTATTGATGTGGTACTGAGTTACATATACTATATTGCCAAAAGTATTGGGACGCCTGCCTTTACAAGCACATGAAATTTAATGGCATCCCTGTCTTAGTCCATAGGGTTCAACATTGAGTTGGCCCACCCTTTGTAGCTATAACAGCTTCAACTTTTCTGGGAATGCTGTCCACAAGGTTTAGGAGTGTGTCTATGTGAATGTTTGACCATTGTTCCAGAAACGTATTTGTGAGGTCAGGCACTGATGTCAAATGAGAAGGCCTGGCTTGCAGTCTTTTCTCTAATTCATCCCAAAAGTGTTCTATTGGGTTGAGGTGCAGACCAGTTAAGTTCCTTCACCCCAAATTCGCTCATTCATGTCTTTATGGACCATGCTTTGTGCACTGGTGCACAGTCATGTTGGAACAGGAAGGGGCCATCCCCAAACTGTTCCCACAAAGTTGGGAGCATGAAATTGTCCAAAATGTCTTGATATGCTGATGCCTTAAGTGTTCCCTTCACTGGAAGTAAAGGGCCAAGGCCAATCCCTGAAAAACAACCCCACACCTTAATCCCCCCTCCACCAAACTTTACACTTGGCACATTGCAGTTAGGCAAGTATCGTTTTCTTGGCAATCACCAAACCCAGACACATCCATCGGATTGCCAGTTAGAGAAGCGTGATTCGTCACTCCATAGAACACATCTCCACTGCTCTAGAGCCCAGTGGTGGTGTGCTTTACACCACTGCATCTGACACTTTGCAGCGCACTTGGTGATGTAAGGCTTGGATGCAGCTGCTCGGCCATGGAAACCAATTCCATGAAGCTCTCTATGCGTTGTTGTTGTACTAATCTGAAGGCCACAGGAAGTTTGGAAGTCTTTAGCTAATGACTCTGCAGACAGTTGGCACCTTCTGCGCACTGTGTGCTTCAGCATGCTCTCACCCCGCTCTGTCATTTTACGTGGCCTACCACTTCATAGCTAAGTTGCTGTTGTTCCCAATTGCTTCCACTTTGTTACAATACCACTAACAGTTGACCATGGAATATTTAGTAGCAAGGAAATTTCACGGATGGACTTATTGTACAGGTGGCAACCTATCATGGTACCACTCTTGAACTGACTCCTGAGAGTGACCCATTCTTTCACAAATGTTTGTAGAAGCAGTCTGCATGCCTAGGTTCTTGATTTTATATACCTGTGGCCATGCAGGTGATTGGAACACCTGAATCCAATGATTTGGAGAGGTATCTTAATACTTTTTGAAATATAGTGTATATGTTTACAAAGTTGGTAAGGTTAAATAAAGACAGTTTAACGTTTGTGTGTGTGTGCTTATGTCACTGACATTTTTCATACCCCTGTACATTGCATTCATAAAGAAACACATCTAAAACTTTTTTGAATTTATCTACACTCCCTGCTTACACCACCAACTGTGGAAAGGAGTTCCACATCATTACTACTCTAACAGTAAAGAGCCCCTTGCACAGTTTAGGATTGAACCATCTCTCATCCAACTTTATTTTGTGGCCTCATGTCTTTAGAGACTTTAGGTTAAATAATTTCTTCCCAATGCTAGAGTCACCATTTAAAGATTTGTATATCACTATCATATCATAAACATCTATTCTGTAGGGAGAATAAGCTTAATGTTTGTAAACTTTCTTTATACTTGAGGTCCTCCAGCCTCCTTATTAGCTTTTTTTTTGGCCTTCTTTGGACTCTCTCCAGTTCAAGAACATCCTTCCAGAGGACTGGTGACCAAAACTGGATGGCATTTTCAAAATCTGGCTGAACCAGAGTTCAATTATAGTATCATCTCTTGAGTAAATACCCCTTTTAATGCATGCTAATAATCTGCTGGCTTTGTTTTCTGCAGCTTGGTATTGTATGCTATTGCTGAGTCTGTGAGAGAAAAAGAGGACATTTTTGCCACACCATGAAGGAAGACCTAGACAAGTCTATATGATGCAAGCTTTGATTAGTTCTTATAATTAGTTCTAGAATAGATGCAGCAACTGGACCCAGTGGAAACTAATTCCAGGAGTTAGAAGTGACTCTGCATGTGAACAAGAAGAATAAAAATGAAAGCAGCACCATCTAAGTGTAATAGCAAATATCCAAAGTTTTCATAAAATTGGCAACTCACATAAAACAAGTAGTCAAAGCTCTCATCTAGCATGGGTCACCACTGTGATGATGCTGATCTGGTCCTGCTATGAATCAGCACCTCAAATGCTGTCCTGGGCTGTGCTTATGGCTCCCAGCACTTTCTGTTCGGTGTGGGAACACAAGCAAGTGGAGGTGATGTCATTCTCTGAAATGACATTGGTGGGTGTGGCATGTGTTTGAAGCATGCATGCTCCTTCCTCAGCCTGAGGAAGGAGCATGCATGCGCTGAATGCATGCCACACCCACCAATGTCATTTCTGAGAGTGACATAATCTCTACTTGCTTGTGTACCCATGCCACATAGGAAGTGCTGGGAGCCAAAAGCACAGCCCAGGACAGCATTCAAGGTGCTGATGCCTAGCAAGACAAGAATGGCATCATCACAGTAGTAACCCATGTTTGATGAGAGCTTTGACTACTTGTTTTATGTGAGTTGTTAATTTTATGGAATAAAAATCAAAATCAAAATAATAATGGTAGAATCCCCAAACCCCTACCAACTAACCAATTCTAAATAGAAACCACTTTCCACCCTAGAAAGTTACAAACATCAAAAGTATTTTCTAGAAAGAATCCTCCCACCACTAGTGATATATACCCTATTCACACAGTGATAAATCAACAATAATAAATCCTAACCATCAGTATATTAACGCCTAAGTGCTCTAATAAAAAGTGTCCACAATATTATATTCCAAAAAATCCGCAAAAAAGTGAAAAAAATGAAAAAGTCCCACTCAAAGTCACTCTTTATATTGTTTGAAGATCCTCACAAGTCAGCTTCCACACAGATCCTCAAAAAAAATCAAAAGCTCAACATAGTGTATTAACATTAAAATATATAGCACTCCACACGTGTTTTATATAAGTGCAAAATGTGAAAAAACAACCACAGCAACTTGTGTCACAACAGTGATGTGTTACACTCAGTGTGCTCACTACAATAGTGTCTAAATCCTCATGCTTATAGATTATATACCCTTACCAGAGAACAAAATCTCACAAGCGTTGTAAGTAGAGATGAGCGAATTATTCAAAAATTCGATTCGGCTGATTCGCCGAATTTGCGGAATAAATTCGATTCGAGGCGAATTTATTCGCTGCGAATTTAACTTATTAAAAGGGTTTCTAGGCTTCAGAGAGCCTTTATATTAGTGCAGAACACTGTACCTTTAATTAAAATGCCCTTGGAGTCTGCTGGGGAAGAGAAATAATACTGTCAGTCAGTATGACATGCAGATGAGTGCCGTCGATCTTAGAATCACCACACACTTCACTCATTTGGGCAGTCACGGGCCAAAACCAGAGTGTGGAGCCACAGTGTGGCGGTGGAGGCAGCAGCAATGGGAGGCCATACAGCACCCTATGACAAAATGGAACCCACCAGCAGTGTGAGGAGACCTGAAAGTGGCACATGGCAGAGTCTGGCGATGAAGTCAGCAGCAATGGGAGGCCGTACAGGGACCCATGACACACTCTGGACCTGGCAGCAGCATGAGGAGCGGTACAGGGGCCCATGGCAGAGTGGCAAAGCGTAAGCAGCTTAAATTGAAGGCCATACAGAGGCCTATGTTAAAAAAGTCCCCCCAGCAGCAGTGTGGGGAGACGACTATCAAGAGTCCAATGGCAGAGTGGCGGAGCAGAAGCAGCTTCAATTGAAGAAAGAAGAGGATGAGGATGAGGATGAAGAAGAAGAAGAAGAAGATGAGGATGAAGAAGAAGAAGAAGATGAGGATGAATAAGAAGAAGAAGAAGATGAGAAGATGAGGATGATGATGATGAAGAAGAAGAAGAAGAGGATGAGGATGGGGAAGAAGAAGAAGAAGAGGATGAGGATGATGATGAAGAAGAAGAAGAAGAAGAGGATGAGGATGGAGGATGAAGAAGAAGAAGAAGAAAAAGAAGAAGAAGAGGATGAGGAAGAAGAAGAAGAAGAAGAGGATGGGGATGAAGAAGAAGAAGAAGAGAAGAAGAAGAAGAAGAGGATGAGGAAGAAGGAAGAAAGAGGATGAGGATGAAGAAGAAGAAAAGAAGAGGATGAGGGGTGGATAGAAAGAAGAAGAAGAGATGAGGAGAGGATGAAGAAGAAGAAGGGAGAAGAAGAAGAGGATGAGAGAAGAAGAAGAAGAGGATGAGGATGAGGATGAAGAGAAGAAGAAGAAGAGGATGAGAAGAAGAAGAAGAAGAGGATGAGGATGAAGCAAGAAGAAGAATAAGAGGATGAGGATGATGAAGAAGAAAGAAGATGAGGATGATGAAGAAGAGAAGAAGAAGAAGAGGATGATGAAGGATGAAGAAGAAGAAGAAGAGGATGAGGAAGAAGAAGAAGAAGAGGATGGAGGATGAAGAAGAAGAAGAAGAAGAAGAAGTGATGAGAAGAAGAAGAGGATGAAATGAAGAAGAAGAGGATGAGGATGAGGATGAAGAAGAAGAAGAAGAGGATGAGGATGAGGAAGAAGAAGAAGAAGAAGAAGAAGAAGAAGATGAGGATATGAAGAAGAAGAGGATGAGGATGAAGATGAAGATGAAGAAGAAGATGAGGATGAAGAAGAAGAAGAAGAAGAAGAGGATGAGGAGATGAAGAAGAAAAAGAGGATGAGATGAGGATGGAGGATGAAGAAGAGGATGAGGATGAGAAGGATGAAGAAGAGAAGAAGAAGAAGAAGAAGAAGAAGAATAAGAAGAAGAATTGATGAGGATGAAGAAGAAGAAGAAAGAAGAGGATGAGGATGAGGAGAAGAAGTAGAAGAGGATGAGGATGAGAGAGATGAAGGAAGAAGAGAAGAAGAAAGAAGAAGATGAGGATGAAGAAGGAAGAAAGAAGAAGAAGAGGATGAGGATGAGAAGAAGAAGAAGAAGAGGATGAGGATGAGGAAGAAGAAGAAGATGAGGGAAGAAGAAGAAGAGGAAATGGGTGATGATGAATAGAAGAAGAAGAAGAGGATGAGGATGAAGAAGAGGAATGAGGATGAAGAAGAAGAAGAAGAGGTTGATGGTGAGGAAGAAGAATGAAGAAGGAAGAAGAAGAAGAAGAAGAAGAAGAAGAGGATGATGAAAAGAAGAAGAAGAGGAAGGATGAGGATGATGAAGAAGAAGAAGAAGAAGAAAAGAAAGAGGATGAGGATGAAGAAGAAGAGGGGGGATGATGATGAAGAAAGAGAATGAGGAGGTTGAAGAAGGAGGATGAGGATGAAGAAGAAGAGAAGAAGAGAAGAAGAGGATGAAGAAGAGGATGAGGATGAAGAAGAAGAAGAAGAGGAAGAGGATGAGGATGAGAAGAAGAAGAAGAAGAAGAAGAAGAGGATGAGGATGAAGAAGAAGAAGAAGAAGAGGATGAGGATGAGGATGAGGTGAAGGAGGATGAAGAAGAAGAAGTAGGATGAAAATAAGAAGTGAATTCCATTCCAGCAAAAAGTGTATTTGCAGAGAGCTCCGCTATTTCTGACAGTTCTCTGGGACAGTTCCCTTCACATTTACAGCGGTTGAAACATTGTATCTATTTGTTTCCGAATAAAAACATCTGTATCCTAAATGGAAACAAATAGATACAATGTTTTCAACCGCTGTAAATGTGAAGGAACTGTCAGAGAACTGTCAGAAATAGTAGCTGAGCTCTCTGCAGGGACACTTTTTTTGCCGGCTGTAGAAGGGATGAAAATTCGGCCGATCGGGGAAAAATTCGATTCGTGCATCCGAAGTTTGCTAATTTGGGATGATTTCCTAAATATTCGAAGCGAATTCCACTTCGCCAAGGGGTCGATTCGACTCGCTCATCTCTAGTTGTAAGGTACAATTGTTTTATAATATGAAAAAAACTTTCTAGAAAAAATGACAATTTCATTTGATATTAGATATATTAGATGGTCTTGGGAGGTGGGTGGTGTATATATATTATAGAATTATAGAATTCGTTA